AGTTTCTGGGTTTGCACCTAGAGATCTCCCTGAGTCAGAAGGACACATGCATGCCTAAGATTTAGGGTTAGCTGAGTCTGAGGATGTTTTATGGTGTCAAAATTCTGTTGGGATGGAACCAGCAGATAGCATAATGGTTACATCACTGGACTCCCATGTAGTCAATGGCAGTTCAGGTACTGGGCCTGGCAGCTTAAAACTCACACAAGGCATGTGTGTCCAAAATCCTGAGAGGAGAAGGTATTGTAGCATTGCCATTCCACCAAGGGGTAACTTTTCCCTTTCTGTCTCTCTGACTCTCTCTGACTCTCTGGCAAGTGCACACACCCTATAACAAAAAATCTCTCTAATTTAGTATTTTTATTAAGTAAATAATTAATATCTAGTATGTTCATACTTATGTATATATGTTTGTAATAACACTGACTGATATTGAGTATCAGAGAACTTCAAAAGATTCATGGAAAAATTAAATTAAAGTGAGTTTATGTTGGTACAAAAAAATTTGAAATCTGTGCATAGTATTTACTTAATACACATTTTCCATGAATTTTTTGAAGATCCCTTGTACATCAAACCTATTTGTTTTGTACATATTCACAATGAATTGTCCTCATCTTTTGATGAGGACAAGAGACAGACAGAGAGAGGCATAGAGACAGAAAGCGAGAAATCACCTCCCCCCAGGGGGGATGGTCACGCCACAATCTCTTCTCCTCCATTCTCCGCTTGGGATCTTGGGCACACACGCACACGCGCCCGGCGTGAGTTCTAAGCCACTGGGTCCAGGACGTGAACCGCGGTCGACTACGTGGGAGTCCAGCGACATAGCCATTACGTTAACTGCTGGTTCCCAAAAAGTAAAATTTTAATCTTGCTTTACATCTTAAAATAAAACAGGTTTATTAATGGAAGCTTAGAAAATATTGATAAGTAGAGGAAAGAAAAGAAAAAAAATAAATCACAATTACTTTCTATATGTAATTATTCTTAACATTCTGTTAAATTTTTCCCTACCATTTTTTTAAACACGTACTGTTTAGTAAACATTACAATTCTTTAGAAATCCACAGCACAATCTCTTTTGGGGATAAATATGTAAATATACAAAAATTGCATGAGGTCAAAGAAATCACATTTAAAATATGATTTGTGTAGGAAACTTGGCCATTGAGAGTTACTGAATTTAAATAAATAGCTTTAGAAAAGCCTCCACTTGGGTAACTCCATGGCCTGGTAGAAAAGGGAGCTAGATTCCACATGGCCAACCATGTAGTTCAAGTCCCATATGTGGCAGCTTGCAATACATGCCAGTCACAAATTGCATGTGTGCTCAGTATCCCAACCACATAAAGAAATGGAAGAGAGGGGATCACAGTATGACCATTGGAGGGTGCTTTCTCCTTGTTCTTTTTTTATCTCTCTTTCCCCAGCAAGCAGGCAAGCAGAAACACCTTCTGGTAATAAAGAAACAAACAAACAACAACAACAAAAACAGAAAGTGTGCTTGAGTGGATCACCTTGCTTGGTTCCATTATTTATTCAATTCATGTGCTGGAATGGGGAGTGGGACAGTAGGAGTAGGGGCAAAGACAGAGACCTTGAGAGGGAAAGTGAGAAATCATTCCCCAGGAGGGATGGCCATGCTAAAATCTCTTCTCCATTCTCTTCCGAGGAGCATGGGTATGCATGCATACACACACGCCTAGCTGGAGTCTCAAGTCATCATGTCTGGGACTCGAACCATGGTCGGCCATATGGGAGTCCAATGACATAACTGCTACACCATCTGCTGGTCCCAAGACTTTCATTCTACTAAGATACCAGAGGCCTAACATTTTCATTTTAATTTCTCGTTATGCACTTTCTTACTGAAGATTAGCTTATTTTCTATGAAGACTATCCACAAATGATAAGGAGAGGGTTACAATAAAGAATAAAGTGTAGGTTGAATATGTGTGTTTTGGGTAGGGGGAAAGATTTAAAACTCAACTGTTCTAATTTAATTCTTGCCTTTGGGAAACGTATACATGTTGGAATATACACTTTGCAAGCTAAGTGACATATGTGATGGAATGTATCAAAGAAACTGAAATATATCTATAAAGATAAGCTATTGACAAAGGTTTATTGGAGTAGGCTGTGTTTTTACATAGCAGAGATTAGTGAAGAGCCCAGGAGATCTGGCATTGTTCACATTTTTTTTTTTCTCATGAAACATGAACATTTGTACAAAGCTATCAATAAACTCTTAGCCTATTTGATCTCTAATTTGGGGATTGGGGAAATAAGTGTCACGACTCTTTAAAGTTGTTGCTTTGAGAATCTAGATTTGTTTAATCTTCGAGATAAAGTGAAAGGGTTGTCTCAGAACTTGGGCATGTATTTAGGGTCAGGTTTCTTGTCTCAACAATTTCGTCACCCAGGAGATGAGTTTTATCAAGGATTCTGGGAAGTGTGAATCCAGTTAAAACATGTTGATTACTAGCATCTTTCCTTTCTGTTGCAGAAAATAGTTTACAAATTCCTTTAGGTTTAATTAAAATTGTCACAACAACTTTTGAATCGATAAGATAGTAGTACTCCACTCTCCAGTCTGTGGGGAAGGAAACAGATTGATTCAGAGGTTAGTATCCTCTGCGAGGAATTATAACTCTTACACTGTAAAGGCAAGACTAGAACTATAATATCCTGACTTCAAATTCTGTACTATTTCTTTTAATTCATGCTTCTTTTATATCACAAACAAAGCATACCTATTCTCTATTAATATGTGCAAATACAGCTAATGTAAGACTAAAATCACGCTTTTCCAACTGCTGCAAGTGAACCTAAAAAATCTCTAAGTGCTTATAAAATAAGTATGTTTATTTCCCTATTTTCATGCGAAGGCCCTGTGAGCCACTGGTGGAGGAAGGAATCACATGTGATGGAAGAGGTAATGTCTGTGCTAGCAGGTGGCATGGTGGGTAAGGTGCAGGATCCTACATAGCTGACTCCACAGTTTGAGCCCTGACCCAGGGGCTTCAAAAACATGCCTGGTGTGTGTGGTTGCATTCCCAAAACCCTGAGAGGAGAATGGAGGAGAAAGGAATGCAGCGTGGTCACACACACGCGCACACACACACCCTGCCCCAGGGAGTGCTTTCTCACTTTCCCTTTCTCTCTCTCTCTCTCTCTCGCTCTCTCTCTCTCTCTCTCTCCAGCAAGCTTATGCACCCTGTGGCAAAAATTTGAAGAAAAAAGAAGTGGTATTCATATGACACAATAGTATTCAGAGGCAGGACATGCTGAACTGGTCTGCGCTGGTAAAAGGAATTCTCATGTCATAAAAAAGGAGTTAGTATGAATTCCCCACTCAACTTTAGAAACTCATTAAGTTGAACAAAATTGAAAGAATAGTGAAAGGCCTTTAAAAAGATGGTGCTGGGTCTTGCTTACTTGGTGTCTTGCTTACCCCCATGAGGCAATCACTGACTTGCTGGTTAGTAAATTACTTCTGCACAGTAAAACATATGGTGATTATTTCACTTTTTGGCTTTGAAAAATACAGTTTTTCTGCCTAGATATATTGATTCCTGAATCGTATGACCATATCAATTATTTACTGTGTCTTAAAAGGAAAAGAAAGTAATTTTTATGGAAAGTGGTATTATTTACAAAAGGGAATTTTGATAATATATCACATACACTTGTCGCTTCAAAGTTTGATGGATTTCTCCTTTGAAAGCACTGTAGTCTTAAATATCCCTAACAAAAACAAGAGGAAAAAGCTTGATTCTTCATATATTCAGGGTTCTTAACAGATTTGTGGTCTTGACCTGTAAATAACTAGCCCTTTAAACATGTTCAGGGAAACCACTCTGTGACAGCCTATGGGTTTAGAATAGTGTCTCCATCCACCACTGTCATTTATGAGGTTTTCTTTTATCCATGGTTATTGGTTATGTTCCCCAGATAAATATCTGAATGTACATCTTTATTACAAAGACACACAAAAACCTCATTTCCAGGTTATGTAATGCTTAGTTCCAAAGAAATGGGATAAAAAATATTGCTTTTTTATTATTATTTCTGAAAATTCACAACTAAATTTTGTCATTAATTTTTAATATGTCTTAAAATGAGATTTGCCATCAAATAATAGATCTGCATGCATGAGGTACAACATTATTATTTTTCTTTTTTGTTGTTTTTTTTTTATTTTTATTGATTTCATGAAAGAAAGAGAGAGTCAAGACCCCAACAGGACCTTCCTGCCACTGTTCAACTCCAGTCTCAGTTGGTATGCCCAAGGAGGTCCCAGGACACCATGTGGGACCTTCCTCACATGAGTCCAGTTGCAGTACCACTGTGCCACCACCTGACCCCCATTGTAACTTTTCTTCACTGCGTTGGGTCCATTTGCAGTATCCCTGTGCCACTACCTGGCCCCCACTGTAACTTTTTTTCACTGCATTTTTACCTTCTAAAATTCTAAGTACAGGACCAGCAGTGACATGGTGGTCAAGGCTACTGGATCCGTATGGTTATCTGTATGGTTCGAGTCCCTCACCTGGTAGCTTAAAAAACAAACCAGTCATGTATATATACATACCCAAACTCCCAAGAGAAGAATGGAGAAGAGATCGTGGTATGGTCATCTCCCATCTTCCCTGGAGAGTGATTTCTCACTTTCTCTCTCTCTGGCAAGTGCACATGACCTATCACAAAATACTAAAATAATAATAACAATAATAAAATAATAAAATGCTACTACAAAGAATATGAAATAGAATTATACATTATTAGATATTTTATATAAATCTAAAGATGACTAAAAGGTGAAATGCATTAAAAATTCTTACCCAAATTTGAGAATTTAAAAGAGGTGAAACACTTTTAAAGTCCTTATGAAATTTCTTTTCAGAATAAATTTTCACAGTCTTGTTATAAGTTGTGTTTTCGAATTGTTAGTTGTTCTATCCCCAAATAATTATTTTCTTTCTTTTATACTGCAGTTCTCTTAGTTTCAACAGAGGTTACCTACTTTGTTTGTGGATTGCTTTTTGTTCTGGTTGTGGAAGAATGGGTTTGGGATTATGCTATTTCAGTAACTATTCTTCACATTGTCATCACTTCAACTGGTAAGCAAAAATAAAATAGCAGAAACAAAGAGTCATGATGTATTTTTCTATGCAAAGATACATCATGATTCTTCTGATGATCCAATATATTAAATCTGACATTGTACCTAAATCATTTTCTTTTTTAAAAAATAATTATTTTTATTTAACTTTTATTTTATTTTTGTTTATTTTTTTAAAAAAATTGACCAGAGAGGGACACAGAGAGAGAGAGAGAGAGAGAGGAAAAGTGAGAAAGCAAGCCATCAGGTCTGGGACTAGAAGTGTAGTAGGCCATGTGGGAGTCCAGTGTTCTTAATCACCATGCCACTTGCCAGTCCCCCTAAGTCACTTTCTAAGAGCCCAAGTTTTTCATATGCACATTTCTCCTTTAATGGCCAAATGATGAAGGTTCTTATGAAGGTTCTTCAGCCCTCCCCATACTTCTCTGCTGCTAAGTACAGCTGTTTCTCCCTGAAAGGTTTTGACAGCTCATCTTTCAGTTCAGAAGAATGAAATGTTGGTTTTTGTATTCTTTTTCAATATTCCTCTTGTCATCAACTTGTACAGGGTTTGCCTCTGTAAAGGGATATTTTTCCTTCTAAATCCTTCCCTGAAGCAGAAATTGACCCTAAGACTGGTAACTGGGACCAGGAGAAGCCTGTCCTTACTGATCTGGAAACTTCCCAGCAGTAGTTATTTAAACAAGATTAGTGGGTCTTAGACTAGTTTTTATTTCTACCATGAGCTTTGAGGTCAGAAGAAAATGGACTCAAATTTCAGTCCTACATTTTATTAGATATGTAGTCTAGAACAAATAGTATCTTGCACACCAGTCTCTTCCTCCACAAACTGGGAGAGACCTATTAAAATTTCAATGAGATAGTGAGAAATTGTCTGACACAATGTCTAGCATATGATTACTCAGTAAATGGTAGTTTCATCCATTCACTCATGCATCCATTCAGAATTTACTCTTCCACTCTAACTTTTTCTCCCTTACAATCCTCCATTATTTTTTTAAGCATAGTAGTCAAAGTATGGGTGGTAATCAACCACAAGTTATAATTTAAAGTTTAATATTATTTATTGTAGACTTAAATCACTCTCTTATTGTCAGTGCGCTGATATATAGATAATGTAATCTGTCTCTAACTTAAGACACAATTTCCAAATAAATTGCTATTTCCCAGCTTCACTGCCCTTAGAGGATGCCAGTATATCGATCTCCTAGCATCAATTGTCTCAGAAACACACTCTCTTCTGTAATTCGGAGAATCACGGCTCCCTCTACCCTGCCATCTCACATTCTCTATTTTACTTTAAGGCTTAAGTTTTCCTACAAGTCAGTCACTGGGTATCTGTAAAAATGCTTGGAATTATAAGATGGTTCAATCCTCAGGGTTGAGATGAGCTATCATTTCTGGACCCATAAAACTTACCAGTTAATTGTCTAGCACATGGCCCATAGAAAATGCTTAACAAATTGCTGGGTAGAATTGCACTGAGAGGGAAATGGCTCAGAATCTCAGAGGGAGCCAGACATTGAGGATACAGAATGATTTTTGGACTGTCACTGCTTATTTCACTTCACATCTACTTTGTGAGCTGACCTGAGAACCCAACAGTTTATAACATCAGTTCTAGGAGAGGAGTTTTAAATATTTGATTTAACAAATAACCATGGCTGAAGTACTACTCCTAGGCTATTTGATTTCATGAATGTGGATAAAATATCTCTGTTATGTGGATATAATTGAACCAAACTCAAGTATTTCTTCATGAGTTTAAAAATATCATCAGGGTTCTTAACAGATTTGTGGTCTTGACCTGTAAATAACTAGCCCTTTAAACATGTTCAGGGAAACCACTCTGTGACAGCCTATGGGTTTAGAATAGTGTCTCCATCCACCACTGTCATTTATGAGGTTTTCTTTTATCCATGGTTATTGGTTATGTTCCCCAGATAAATATCTGAATGTACATCTTTATTACAAAGACACACAAAAACCTCATTTCCAGGTTATGTAATGCTTAGTTCCAAAGAAATGGGATAAAAAATATTGCTTTTTTATTATTATTTCTGAAAATTCACAACTAAATTTTGTCATTAATTTTTAATATGTCTTAAAATGAGATTTGCCATCAAATAATAGATCTGCATGCATGAGGTACAACATTATTATTTTTCTTTTTTGTTGTTTTTTTTTTATTTTTATTGATTTCATGAAAGAAAGAGAGAGTCAAGACCCCAACAGGACCTTCCTGCCACTGTTCAACTCCAGTCTCAGTTGGTATGCCCAAGGAGGTCCCAGGACACCATGTGGGACCTTCCTCACATGAGTCCAGTTGCAGTACCACTGTGCCACCACCTGACCCCCATTGTAACTTTTCTTCACTGCGTTGGGTCCATTTGCAGTATCCCTGTGCCACTACCTGGCCCCCACTGTAACTTTTTTTCACTGCATTTTTACCTTCTAAAATTCTAAGTACAGGACCAGCAGTGACATGGTGGTCAAGGCTGCTGGATCCGTATGGTTATCTGTATGGTTCGAGTCCCTCACCTGGTAGCTTAAAAAACAAACCAGTCATGTATATATACATACCCAAACTCCCAAGAGAAGAATGGAGAAGAGATCGTGGTATGGTCATCTCCCATCTTCCCTGGAGAGTGATTTCTCACTTTCTCTCTCTCTGGCAAGTGCACATGACCTATCACAAAATACTAAAATAATAATAACAATAATAAAATAATAAAATGCTACTACAAAGAATATGAAATAGAATTATACATTATTAGATATTTTATATAAATCTAAAGATGACTAAAAGGTGAAATGCATTAAAAATTCTTACCCAAATTTGAGAATTTAAAAGAGGTGAAACACTTTTAAAGTCCTTATGAAATTTCTTTTCAGAATAAATTTTCACAGTCTTGTTATAAGTTGTGTTTTCGAATTGTTAGTTGTTCTATCCCCAAATAATTATTTTCTTTCTTTTATACTGCAGTTCTCTTAGTTTCAACAGAGGTTACCTACTTTGTTTGTGGATTGCTTTTTGTTCTGGTTGTGGAAGAATGGGTTTGGGATTATGCTATTTCAGTAACTATTCTTCACATTGTCATCACTTCAACTGGTAAGCAAAAATAAAATAGCAGAAACAAAGAGTCATGATGTATTTTTCTATGCAAAGATACATCATGATTCTTCTGATGATCCAATATATTAAATCTGACATTGTACCTAAATCATTTTCTTTTTTAAAAAATAATTATTTTTATTTAACTTTTATTTTATTTTTGTTTATTTTTTTAAAAAAATTGACCAGAGAGGGACACAGAGAGAGAGAGAGAGAGAGAGGAAAAGTGAGAAAGCAAGCCATCAGGTCTGGGACTAGAAGTGTAGTAGGCCATGTGGGAGTCCAGTGTTCTTAATCACCATGCCACTTGCCAGTCCCCCTAAGTCACTTTCTAAGAGCCCAAGTTTTTCATATGCACATTTCTCCTTTAATGGCCAAATGATGAAGGTTCTTATGAAGGTTCTTCAGCCCTCCCCATACTTCTCTGCTGCTAAGTACAGCTGTTTCTCCCTGAAAGGTTTTGACAGCTCATCTTTCAGTTCAGAAGAATGAAATGTTGGTTTTTGTATTCTTTTTCAATATTCCTCTTGTCATCAACTTGTACAGGGTTTGCCTCTGTAAAGGGATATTTTTCCTTCTAAATCCTTCCCTGAAGCAGAAATTGACCCTAAGACTGGTAACTGGGACCAGGAGAAGCCTGTCCTTACTGATCTGGAAACTTCCCAGCAGTAGTTATTTAAACAAGATTAGTGGGTCTTAGACTAGTTTTTATTTCTACCATGAGCTTTGAGGTCAGAAGAAAATGGACTCAAATTTCAGTCCTACATTTTATTAGATATGTAGTCTAGAACAAATAGTATCTTGCACACCAGTCTCTTCCTCCACAAACTGGGAGAGACCTATTAAAATTTCAATGAGATAGTGAGAAATTGTCTGACACAATGTCTAGCATATGATTACTCAGTAAATGGTAGTTTCATCCATTCACTCATGCATCCATTCAGAATTTACTCTTCCACTCTAACTTTTTCTCCCTTACAATCCTCCATTATTTTTTTAAGCATAGTAGTCAAAGTATGGGTGGTAATCAACCACAAGTTATAATTTAAAGTTTAATATTATTTATTGTAGACTTAAATCACTCTCTTATTGTCAGTGCGCTGATATATAGATAATGTAATCTGTCTCTAACTTAAGACACAATTTCCAAATAAATTGCTATTTCCCAGCTTCACTGCCCTTAGAGGATGCCAGTATATCGATCTCCTAGCATCAATTGTCTCAGAAACACACTCTCTTCTGTAATTCGGAGAATCACGGCTCCCTCTACCCTGCCATCTCACATTCTCTATTTTACTTTAAGGCTTAAGTTTTCCTACAAGTCAGTCACTGGGTATCTGTAAAAATGCTTGGAATTATAAGATGGTTCAATCCTCAGGGTTGAGATGAGCTATCATTTCTGGACCCATAAAACTTACCAGTTAATTGTCTAGCACATGGCCCATAGAAAATGCTTAACAAATTGCTGGGTAGAATTGCACTGAGAGGGAAATGGCTCAGAATCTCAGAGGGAGCCAGACATTGAGGATACAGAATGATTTTTGGACTGTCACTGCTTATTTCACTTCACATCTACTTTGTGAGCTGACCTGAGAACCCAACAGTTTATAACATCAGTTCTAGGAGAGGAGTTTTAAATATTTGATTTAACAAATAACCATGGCTGAAGTACTACTCCTAGGCTATTTGATTTCATGAATGTGGATAAAATATCTCTGTTATGTGGATATAATTGAACCAAACTCAAGTATTTCTTCATGAGTTTAAAAATATCATACATTTTGAGGGCCTAATGTCCAACACCTGTGGCTCATCCCCTCCCACTCGCCTTTGAACTCTCAGGACTTCGGTGTTTTGGATAGCACATGGTGCGCATTGCGCTCCGCATGATAGTTTCTTTGCTCCTCAGGTGAAGCTCAGCAGCTCAGTTTGAGTCGCACCTGTTCTTAAGAAACAGGGAGGACTTTGGGTCAACCAGGACCAGTGATGACCATGCGGGGTGCTAGCGAGAAACAGGGAGACAGAGCAGAAGAGAGATTGCCAGTTTTCAACTCTTGCACACCTTTGAACGCTCAGAGATACTTTGAAAAATTTAGGCAGGAAAATATAGATCACCAGATGACTAGGAACAAATGCAGAGGTACAAGAAATATGAGCATCAAACAAAATGTCTCTCCCCCAAGGAAAAACGTCAATTCTGCATCATTCTCAGGAAACACAATGGAAGTCACAGAAATGTTGGATAAGCAATTCAGAATATCTGTAGTGACCAAACTAATTGAGATACAAGAGAAAAGAGACAATGAGCTCCAAGAGATGAGGAAGTCCTTTCACGATTTGAAAGAAGAATTAGACACCATGAAAAAGAATCAAACAGAATTGTTATGGATGAAGAATGTGATATAGGAAATTAAAACCTCCTTCAAAGATATTAAAAGTAGATTAGATTATGCAGAAGATCAAATCTTGAATGTAGAAGACAAAACCTCTGACCAAGAAAAAACTATCTAAAAGATTGAGAAAACAATCAAGAAAAATGAAGTCAATATACAAGAAATACTAGATACCATCAAATGCCCCAACATCTGGATAATTGATATCCCAGAAGTAGGACTATATCAGATTAAGAAGTTTCTGCACAGCAAAGGACACAGTAATTAGTGTGAATCGACAACCCCCAGAATGGGAGAATATTTTTGTAAAATATGCCTCAGACAAGGGACTGATAACCAGAATACACAAGGAACTCAAGTGGCTTTCTCGGGAAAAAAAAAAAAAATAGATGAACCCAATTAAAAGACGGGAAAATGAGCTGAACAAAAATCTAAGAAAGACATACAAATGACCAAAGGGAATATGAGGAAATGCTCAGCATCCTTCATCATGAGGGAGATGTAGGTTAAAGCCACAATGAGATACCACCTAACCCCTGTCAGAGTGGCGAACTTTAAAAATACAAAAAGTGGTAAGTGTTGGTGAGGATATGGTGGAAGGGAAACTCTCCTACATTGTTAGTGGGAATGTAAACTGTTTCAACCACTGTTGAAAACAACATAGAGGTTCCTCAAAGATCTAAAAATAGAACTACCATTTAATTCAGTAATTCCACTTCTGGGTATCTACCCAATAGACAGGAGAATGCTCAGTCAGAAAAGTGCTTGCACATCAATGTTTATTGCAGCATTATTCATGATCCCTGAGACATGGAACCAACCCAAATGTCCACAAACAGATGAATGGATGAAAAAATTGTGGCACATATACTCTATGGAATACTACTCAGCCATAAAAA